CACTGTCGCTTGCACGTCCGCCAGGTCACGGAAGCCATAGCGGCTCAGATGAAATCCGAGGGCCCAATAGAGTGGCAGGGGAGGCCGCCCTATGAGATCCAGGTACTGCGAGACCACATCTTGTGGTTTTGGGCCCACAAAAATGAAGAAATCTAGTATACCGCCTATCGTCCGGTAAGTGAGTGATGGCATTGGCTGAATGTCAATCTCTTGGGCGTTTGAATTAAGCAGAAAGATGCCAAAGGCAATCCCATCAACAGTCAAACCGAGGAAGAAGTTGTGCACACCGTAGAGGTTCACGTGCTCCATTGGCGGCTGATCTTGCGCCCACATTGGTACCCTCTCCCAGTTCCGTAGGCGAAGTGGGAATGCAGTTCTCCGTTCACCGGGTCCGAAACCGCGTTGGGCCACAATTTTGAAAGCAATCTGCCAAAATGCATCTCTTGCGATCAGACTACTGGCCATAAGGCCGGTTGTATCGACAAGTAGATGGTCTTCGCCTCTCTCTCCCGCTTTTCTATAAACTTTGAAACCAAAAGGCTTGGAGTCGTAACTCACCCGGTAGTTAACAGCCTTTGGAGGGAAGTTTATTGGTTGGTTAATGTCCACTGGGGGCTCCCACCTCTGCTGGTGTGGATCGGTGATGCGCAATCGCAGACGACTGGCTGTCTCGTAGATAAAATCAACTTTCAGCTCGGCAAGTTCATTAGCGAAAGGAGGCTTGAGAAACTGCTTTTGCAGATAGAAAGTATAGTGGCCGGGTGATGAGGATGTATTTTGCAAAGAGTAGGCAGGATAATCGATTGGCAGGTAGCACGCATTCATTTTTGGATCAGCGGGCAGCTCCCAGCAACAACCACGTTCCAGACAGCGTTCTTCGGTTGCTGATGGCTCTGGATAGCAGTCCATGCGTTCTAACGTTGGGATAGAGCTGCAACTAGCCGGTTGACCAGAACCCCATGTAAAGAGACCCAGTATGGCGCATAACACTCGCTGTGCTGCAGCCATTTCTACTGCCTGCCTGATCTAACAGTCCGGTGTCACACTGTTTTAAAGTAATATCTTTTCGCAGTCGACCAATCAGCAAAGCGTTGCAGACAAGAGTCGAGGTCGGCTGAGATTCTATTCGTCGCATCACCACAATCGCACCCACGATCTCATTTGGCTAGTTTTGAAGTTAGCAAATGGGCTGTTAATTTCAGGCTGGAGGAAGGGGCCAAGTCGTGAGGGTGTGGAACGTGTGTGGGATGGAAAATGGTGGTTGTTTCAGAAGGATGCAATACCAAGTCGAACAGACAGCACGCTTCTGAGATGCAAAGCTATGCATTGATAAACTACCGAGCACTGCAAGCAGTTGTCCTAAATCCACCTTTCTGAACGCTGTTAGACGCCAGGTGCCACAATTTCAGCCATAAAGTATTAAATGGGGGACGAGAGCGAAGAAACATGAGATTCTGCGAAAATGCATCAGCGTGAGTGAACTGCTAGTAATGTGCAAAAAACAGTTCAGTAAGTAGAGAATAAA